AGGTCAGTGTAGAGCTTGGCTCCCCACCTAGGTCAGTGTGCAAGAAATTTAGCGAGTAGAGCCCTTGAGCCGCCATGCCATTGGTATAGATCTCAGTATCAGCACTGGACGAGGCCATAAATGACATTCATGTTAATCTCCACGCCACAATTCCAGATTCCAGGCGAAACAGTAGCCCTGTAGACCTGCGGATATCCTCATCATTTGAACATGATGAATTGCTATGCCTGGTAAGTCGCACTGCCTGGCTTGCTCTACACACAAGCCACATACTAGGTACTTCGTTACCGTGATGTGGTCACTATGTACTTGACTATCCTCTTCGCAGCCCTTTAGTGAACAAGATGGTTTCTCCCAGTCACAACAAAGTGAGCAAGGACATCGAGAGGTTAATCAAGGTCTGGTTGAGTACACGTCATCAGGCACCTGAAGCAAACCATAAACCCTGGTACCGGCCGATAGGCTTAGTCGACTCGTCGCGAATGGGAGGAGTGAGCCTCTGGTAAACAGCAAGAGGAGTAGGTTGTATGGAGGAGAACTCTAAGTGGAATCGGTGAAAAATGTGCTGCACATATGTTATTAACCTGGAGAGATGGTGCACGTTGCTCTGTCCTGGTGATGTGCGAGCAAACATAGCTCCTCAACTCACCAAGGCCGGTGCAGGTCTGTCCCTTTTGCAGTTCGGTCTTCACTAAAGCCAGAGCAACCCCGTCTACAGTAGCAAGGACCAACAGTCGTTGACGTTACCCAGAACGAACGAACAGTGACGGGTCGGTAGAAGAAGGGCGGAACTCGAAAGAAACAAGAGTAGAACGGAGAGTGTTGTGCCACTCACGAGGTGCCTAGTGGAGACCGTAGGTTGGCCGTCTCAGGATTCACTGGGTCCTATGTGGAAAAGTGCCAGTGAAGCCAGGAGGATGGAGCAACTAGATCTCCTCGTAGGAAGGTAGTAGAAATGTCTAGAAATTACCGCTCGTACTAGTCTCGCTGTGCTGGAACGTGTAGCAATACCTAAAGACTGATCATATTCGAGGTGTAACAGTGCCCTTATACTGAGAAAAGCCTCTCACTACATAGCGCGCCTTAAAGAAGTCCAGGCGGCAGCTTCATTTAAAAGATTCACATGCCATCGACTTCGTCGCCTCTGGATCTCTAAATTGCGATTTTTAAGTTCATGCCTGCTAGCCATAGCGAGGCCCACTGTCCCTTAACCGCCTCAACGTAAGTGTGAAAAGTCAGGATTGTTGTATCGTGAGGGTCTCTCCCACAGGCTAGCAACATGGCACAGATGTGAGGAGCAGCGACCGCAAGGAACTGTCAATCAACTAGGATATCATAGCTAAGAGCAGCAACACCTCTAGCGGATTGAGGACATTAAACAGGAGCAGACGTCAGCTGGGTGGCGTTGTCAAGGTGGCGGTCGAAGGCAAAGTCAGTCAGTACGGTGACAAGAGCTAAAACAGATGACGGAATGGTAGTAGGGTTAGTCACGTAAGAAGAGTAGACATGAGAGATGATAGGGCAAGCGATTTGGGAGTCAAAAATAGGTTGTGAAGAAACAGTGAGGCGACACATGAGGTAACGGGAGGACAGACAGTTGAGGAACACAGGAGGGAAAGGAGATGTGGAACAAGCGCCTGGCAGACAATGGGACCAAGGAGAGAAGGCTAAAGATGGAGAAGGAAGGATAGGATGAGACGATCCAGACCCCAACACCAGAACGTCCAGCTTTAGCACCATCTCCAGCACCAGCACTAGTGCCAACAACCCCAGGGTTAACACACCACCGTCAGCACCCCCTGAATCATCACCTCCAGCTCCAGCACCAGCACCTTTGCACCAACGCCAACACCTCCAGCGTCATCACCCCCACCATAAACACCCTTAGAACTAGCTCCTCCAACACTAGCACCTCTAACACCAGCACCCCCAGAGTTCACTACGACCTGGCGTAGTAGCACCGCAGGTTGTTGTGATGATTGTGACGATAATTAAGGGGAGTATGGTAAAGAAGACGACACCGGATGTGCTACTGCAGGAGGAGGGGTAGCGTGAGATACACCTGAGGGGGCAGGACCTAGGTGCAGTGGAAATACCGGAGTAGCAGGTCCAGGAGGAGTGGGAGTAAGGAAGAGGGGTGGGAGGGGAACCGAGAGGCCTCGGTAAGGGTAGGTTGTGTAGAAGGACGCTACACCTGTCAAAAGTGACGTTAAGGGAGTCGAAGAGTCGGTGGAGGGATGAATGATGAAACTAAAAGTCAGGGGCGTTGACCGGGAAACCAAGGAAGGCGCAACAGAGGGTGCGATATGAGAGCTTGTTCGCATAAGGATCGCAGAGCAACTACATGATCAGAACATTAGGCATGTGGGCCTTCCGCTGCACGGAAAAAAACAAGATGTAGCTTGATAAATCGTTCACAATAAGAATGATAAACATATCGCCGCTGGGCTCAGCGATTGGTGCAGGGCCCCAGAACTCCATATGCAAAGTCTGAAAAGGCGCAGTGACAGGCGTAGTGCAGGAGGAGTGAGGGATGATGCATTTCCGACCTTTGACGCAAGGAATGCACGACGGAGCAGGCGAAGGGGCGAGCGAAGGAAGAAAGAACGAGGGACCTAATAGAAGACCATAGCTAGACATCCGTTTGAGATGACCAAGACGGTGGTGCTACATGAGCGACAGGTTTTTGAGCGACCGATACGAGCTCGACGCAACAACCTCAACAGAAGCAGCTACCTTGGGGAGAGTTGTGTGTAGTGTGAAGAAACCAGACGAAGGCTCCCGAGAGAATGTCACAACACGTGCCCTAATGGAAAAGCTTGTACACATTGCAAACCCTGTCAGAAGGAGGAGAAGTGACAATGACCCCACGATCTTGAAGGTGTCGAACACCTACCATGTTTTTCGAGAATGATGGGATATGGGGATGTCGAAACAGTAGGCGAAAATCAGAAACAGGAAAGAGGGGTTTGCAGGTAGGATACATATAGGAAACTCTAGTTTGGGTTGTACTCGCTACAGAGTACCCCACTGCAGGCTAGACAAACATCACATTCTGACACACCCCCATAGTCAAAGTGGGGTATAATCAGCACAACACACAGGCAAATCAATAGTTCATAATATAAGCAAAGCTAGAGGCTATCACAGAGAGCAAGTGAGGAGGAGGAGAAACTGTGGGGGCGAGAAGATGCGAGACGACGGCTGAAGCTGCAGACACACGGGCAACAGGAGTGCGCAGCACTATCGCAACCAGGCTAAACCCGGACTACACGGCGACAGGCGCAGCTGGCTCGCTGTGCTCCCAGGAGTGCGCAGCACTGTCGCTACCAGGCTAAACCCGGACTACACGGCGACAGGCGCAGCTGGCTCTCTGGACTACAGGCGCTGCGAACGACAAGACGGCTACCTCTACTCAACTTCCCCCAGCTGTCCCACACCCCTTTCACACACCCCCTGCTGTACCCCTAGCACTGCTCACACACCACCCCCCTTGTATCACTCCGACGGCTCCAACACATCCACCCCCCTCAGCGGCAGCTGCAGCAGTGGGAGACGGAGGAGGAGGAGGAGCAGGGGACGGCGCACACACCCGTCACCCCCATACTCGCCACCCCCACACTCTCCACCCCCAAACCCTAACACATGCAGCAGCAGGAGGGGGGGGGTGCGCGGGCAGTAGCTCGGGGGATGGCGCGCGGGTCGACGGGGACGGGCGCACGGGTCGACGGGGGCAGGCGCGCGGCTCCCCAGGGCGCCGCGACGGGGCAGCGGGGGCCGCGCGCGGCTCCCCAGGGCGCCGCGAAGGGGCAGCGGGGGACCCCGCGCGGCTCTCCAGGGTGCCGCGACGGGGTAGCGGGGGTCGCGCGCGGCTCCCCAGGGCGTCGCGACGGGGCAGCGGGGGTCGCGCGCGGCTCCCCACGGCGTCGCGACGGGGCAGCGGGGGGTCGCGCGCGGCTCCCCAGGACGTCGCGACGGGGTAGCGGGGGCGACGCGTGGGCCTGCGGGGCGACGCTACGGGCTCCCCGGGGGGGGGGGGGGGGGGGGGGAGGAGGGGGCGACACAACCGCCGACGGGGGGCGACGCGCGGGTCGACGCACGCGGCGGGAAGAAAAAACGCCGCGCGCCCTGAGCGCGCGGCAGGCAGAAGACATCGCACGCTCAGGGCGTGGAATAGGCAGGACAGCAGCGGAAGCATCGGGCGGGACCACCCACAGGATCAAACGAGGAGGGTCGACCTGCTCTGATAGCATGTCGAAACAGTAGGCGAAAATCAGAAACAGAAAGAGGGGTTTGCACTAGCAGCAGGTAGGATACATATAGGAAACCCTATTAAGGGTCGTACTCGCTACAGAGTACCCTACTGCAGGCTAGACAAACATTACATTCTGACAGGGGACCTGTGATGGAACTAGAGGGGAAAGCAGGACACGAATCATGGTTGAACTACAAAAAATATAGGGCACGCAAGTGAACAGTCGCGAGCCAAATGTCACGATTGTTGACCGACCTGGACCTCGAGGTTGCGACCAGCTTCAACTGTCGCAACTGTATCCGAGATTAGATGCTGCAATAGGAATCGCGATAGTCACTGTCACTGTCGCGTTACCTGTACTACCGTTGATACGATAATATACTGTTCAGAATAGATGACTAGCTAGTATCTGTATATTTCGAGTAATGCTTTATTTCAATTAATATTGTTATTTATATTCAATATGATCAAGGTTCCCAGTACAAAGATTTCTGATACCTACTCTAGCAGACTTATCCTATCCAAGATCCTTTCTTTAATCAAACAGGCTGAACAAAAGTACGGAATGTTAATACATAAGAGTATACACTTGTCTAAGGCTTGCATAGGCAGGATTGTAGCATACTCTTATTTTTGGATTGCATATGCAGATAGAGTGAATTGTGTAATAGGAGGACACATTGTCGGCGCACGATGGTAGGACAACTGGCAAGTTCTTTGAACTTGGGCGGTTTCCAGATCATAGATGGATCCATTGTGGCAGTTCGAACGCTCACCAGATCAGCAAGGTTGTGTGTTTGACGTGTATTCCTTCATCGGGATCAGCACATCCACAAGCAGCTGTAAGGCACTGCCACGTGGTACCAATGAATGCACGACTCCATGCTTCTTCCCAACTCTCCCCTTTCTGCATCGTCAGTCACTCCCATTTCTGAACTGCCAAGCCAAGCTCACACTGGTTTTCAATTGTTCGTCCGTCTCCTGACTGTCGTCTCTTGGAGGCCTATCTTTCAGCCATGGCTGTCGCCACGACCTCCATGACTCTCAGGTCCTCATTCATCGGTGCACCGAGCCTCGATAAGTTCTCTAACCAGGCCATCCGGGTGGTGTCCGTTGCTCCCGCTGTCAGGAGGCCTGCGTCTTTCAAGGTATTACCGCTTGTTTTTGGGCAATATGTTTGTACAGGGTTTAAAATTTCAGAGTCGTGCTCTGTGGATCACGCAGCCGGAAAAGTTTTTATTCGAATTCAAGTGATTTCTCGCATGTCCAGGTGATGGCAGTGTCGAAGAAGGCTGTCGCTGTTCTGAAAGGCACTGCTGGGGTCGAGGGCGTCGTCAATCTGACTCAGGAGGATGACGGTAAGGATGTCTAAGCATCTTCTGCGCCAGGATCGGGTTGTCATGGCGGCGCACATCTGACCCTACATACTTTCTTCAAGCAGGCCCCACTACCGTCACTCTCAAGATTACTGGTCTCGCTCCCGGCAACCACGGTTTCCACTTGGTACGCGTAACTTTCACGTGGCGCATCCTCCCCGTGTGATCCCGTTATTCGCATTGACACATCTTACATTGAATTGTGTGCAGCACGAGTTCGGTGACACCACAAACGGCTGTATGTCTACAGGTGAGTATCTTCGTTGTTGGATGCCATGTTTTCTGTACTTTTGATGTTATGCTCCCTATCGGGGCTCTTGCCGTTGTCGACTTCACCTGTAAACCCATCATGTTCGTAACAGGCCCTCACTTCAACCCTAAGGGCTTGACGCACGGGGCTCCTGGTGATGAGATTCGCCATGCGGGTGACCTCGGCAATGTTGTAGCCAACGCTGATGGTGTTGCAGAAGCGACCATTGTTGACTCTCAGGTTTGTCTCGCGGATATGCGTGTTCCCTCGGTGCATAGCCACGCTATGTCTCTGATTCACTGTCCTTACCCGCTTGACCCGACCCTCATACATTTCAAGCGTTTCACATCTCTCACGTGCAGATCCCTCTTTCTGGACCCAACTCAGTTGTGGGACGTGCGTTTGTCATCCACGAAGGAGAGGACGATCTTGGCAAGGGTGAGTCTTCATATATCTACAACAATCTCAGATAAATGTATCTTTGGTTTTGTTCCAGCAAGGCTTTTGGATGGCCTACAAGTTTACTCCTGCTTCGTAAATGTTTCTTTATCGTTCAGGTGGGCACGAGTTGAGCAGCACCACTGGAAACGCTGGTGGTCGTCTTGCTTGTGGTGAGCGGGTTACTTTCAGTATCTGCTGCCTTCGGAATCGATTCCTGCTTTATGTTGCATGCCTAATCTACGTTTTGCGCGTTTCCAGGTGTGGTTGGCCTGACTCCCCTGTAATCTGGGTAGGCGCTGCCTACTAGCTTTGTTGTCAAATACCAACCCTATGGAAAAGTGTGACTGAATGTTACCACACTGCATATATCACTCGATTTTGTGTGCTGTGTGACTGGCAGCAACATATTAATAGCCACCAGACTTATCACCATATCCTGGATACAGGCAGGACAACTCAAAACAAAGACCAGAAAAAAAAGAATGCACAGTGGAATATACTTGGCATTCCTGATGCCTATGTAGTGAGCCCGGAGATACCATCATCTCTCAGAAATATGACATACGGTATGTCTTATCTCGCACACTACCGAAAATGCTTGGGTGTGATATAAGCGGAAAAAATTTATGAACTCTGTAACATTTGCAAATTGTGAAGAATTCATTAAATTCGGCCAACCCCAGTGGCGATGCATGCATCACCACCACATGCCACGTGAGGGATGCAACAAAGATGTTTGTAGCCCATAAAGGTTACAACCCAATTAGGGGTAGTACTTGTACTCAGATCTGTTCTATGCATCATCATTCTCGTTCAGTCTTTTGACATGGTTTCAGAGCAGGTCCTGTTCCAGGACCCTTTTTTTTTAGGGCCCACCGAATAGTTCCCTGCCCATAGCGCTGCCCTGCCCTGCCCGCGCGCCGCCGTGCTGGCCGCGCGCCGCCCTGCTGGCCGCGCGCTGCCCTGCTGGCCGCGCGCCGCCCTGCTGGCCGCGCGCTGCCCTGCTGGCCGCGCGCCGCCCTGCTGGCCGCGCGCCGCCCTGTTGGCCGCGCGCGCCACCCTGCGACCCGTGCGCTGCCTTGCTGGTCGCGCGCCGCCCTGCTGCCCGTCGCACCCCCTTGCTGGTCGCGCACGTCGCCCTACTGCCCGTCGTGCCGCCCTTCCCTATGCGTCGCGCCGCTCTAGGGCCCGCGCGCTGCCCTCCATGCCTGCGCGCTGCCCTGCCCTGCCCGCGCGTCGCCCTCCCCTGCGCGTCGTGCCGCTCTAGGGCCCGCGCGCCGCCCTCCCCTGCCCGCGCGCTGCCCTGCTGCCCGCACGCCGCCCTCCCCTGCGCGTCGCGCAACCTTGCTGCCCGCGCGCCGCCCTCCCCTGCCGGCGCGCCGCCCTGCTGGCAGCGCGCCGCCCTGCTCTGGCCGCGCGCCGCCCTTCCCTGGTCGTGCGCTGCCCCGCCCTGCCTTTGTGCCTGCGCGCCGCCCTGCCTGTTGCGTTGTCCTGCTGCCTGCGGGCCGCTCTGCCTAACCTGCATGTTGCCCTGCTGGTCATGCGCCACTCTTCTTTGCCCGCTATGGCTTCTCTCAGTGTTCTCACCTTCGATTCTGAGGGCCGTCCGATCCAGTTTGAGACCTGGCTAGACGACTTATAGCTGTACCTCTAGTGCGAGTCTAGGGACGGCGTCTCCCTGTTTTACCACACGTCTGGGACCTCTCTCGCTCCTCCCGATGCAGTTGACAGTGCGACTCGCTCACAGTGGCTTTCCCGTGACGCTACTGCTCGCCTCGCCGTTCGCAACCACCTGCCATTAGCCGAACGGCGCACTTTGGCCAGCACAAGAGTGCTAAAGCACCGTTCGACACTGTAGTTGCTCGTTACTTTGCCCCTGCCACTACTGCTCTCGGCTGACATACTGCCCTACCTTTTCCCAAGCTCTCAGCCTTTCCCACAGTCGCCGACCTCATCACCCACCTTCGCACTAGCGACACTCGCTACCGCGCAACTTCCGAGTTTCTAGACAAGAACTCCCTCCCCCATGTACACCACTCTCTACATCCTAGTCAGGGACCACTTTCTCGCCCTCAACCCCACAGACCTCACTGTCGACCTGCTCGAGAAGCACCTCCTTGCAGCTGAAACTAGCATCGTCTCTGTAGGTGCTTCTCGTGGCACTCCTCGCACTCCCTTCTTTGAGGGGTGTTCCCCCTCCCCCCTTGCCCCCTCTGTCGCTTCTGCTGCTGCTGTTGACTTCCTTCGTGCTGAGGAGGTCGGGGCTGCGTCTGCTCCTAGTTGTGAGAGTACGACGGCTTATGCTTGTTATTCATGCTTGCTTTTATTACCTTACGCTACTGCTAGCTTAGGTTTCATTTATGCATGCATGAATTGTTTGATTCCTAGGCTAGGTGCTTTCCTATATATTATATATAGTTATAGGCACCATGCTAGGTTACACCGAATTCGGAGCTATTCGGTTGCCACCGAATTGCTTCTACCGAATTCGGGAAGGGTCTGTTCGGGACGCTTCGCGACCCGCAGAACCTTCTCGTAACACCTGGTTACCTCCCTTGTGTCGAGCCCTATATATAGCCTCGTGTTGTACCCAGGTGATCAATCAATTCTCATTCTCGATTCTGAACTCGATCCTCGATCCTCACACTAGTGGGAGGCGCCGCAGCGGCAAGGGCAAGGGAGGCAAGGGTGGTGGGGGTGGCGGCGGTGGTGGAGGCGGTGGAGGCGGTGGAGGTGGCGGTGGTGGCGATGGGAGTGGTGGTGGAAGTTGAGGCTTCGGTGGCGGCTGCGGTGGTAGCGGTGAGAGTGGTGGTGGCAGCAGTGGGAGTGGTGGCGGCGACAGTGGAGGCGGACGGGGTGGAGCCGTTCAAAGGGGAGGTTCTGGCTGTCAGAATCCCAGTCACTAACCACTGGGATAAAAGGGCTTGTTTATATAGCGGGTGAGTGCGCCCATAACCCCCCAGGCCGACGTGCCTGTAACCCTTCCCTAGGATCATCGGGGATCCCAAGTGGACCTCTGACACCCCCCCGCACTGGGATGCCCGAAGTGCACACACCGGGAATCGAACCCGAGACCTTCGCTCTGATACCATGTCAAGATTACGAGACTGGAATGATTGAACTAACAGAGAAATCAGTACAAAAGGCAAACCCTAGAATTCTGTACCCCATATAGGCTAACCCACTGTAGCCTAACAAGCGCAACATATATAATGTTTGACACTGGCGGTGGCCAGGGGCAGATGCAGCAGCATCCGCGCGAGACCCTTATGCCCCAGCAGCTTCGTGAGTGGTTTGCTCAGCGTGGGGCGTCTGGGGGTACTGTTTGCTGCCTGTACGTCATTCGCACAGGTGATCGGGCTGGTCAGACATGCGGGAAGGTTGGTCACTCAGAGTACCGCTGCTTCTCCCGTCTTGACAACGCCTGGCGCGCAGAGTTTAACAATGAGGCTGAGCTCCCCCGCTAGCTAGACCTGCTTAGGAACAATGTGGATATATTTGCTCTTGACTTTGATGCCATCCTATCTGGCATGTATGCTTTGACTGTTAGTGCTGAGGGTGACTGTTACCTGTGTGTGGAAAACAGTCTAATCAAGAGGACTAGCAAAAAAAAAGAGGCATCCAATGCAGTGGACCAATCAAAGTGCTGCGCTGGGCAGTCGGGGCAGTGTGCGCACCTATAATGGGCGTACCGGGCAGAGTTCGGGCGCTCAAATCATGCCAACCACGTGGAACGAAATGGATCCACTTTTTGTGGATGCGAGAAAAGTCTAATCAAGAGGACTAGCGAAAAAAAGAGGCATCCAATGCAGTGGACCAATCAAAGTGGTGCGTTGGGCAGTCGGGGCAGTGTGCGCACCTATAATGGGCGTACCGGGCAGAGTTCGGGCGCTCAAATCATGCCAACCACATGGAACGAAATGGAGCCACTTGTTGTGGATGTGGGAAATAGTCTAATCAAGAGGACTAGCGAAAAAAAGAGGCATCCAATGCAGACACCAATCAAAGTGGTGCGCTGGGCAATCGGGGCAGAGTGCGCACCTATAATGGGCGTACCGGGCAGAGTTCGGGCGCTCAAATCATGCCAACCACATGGAACGAAATGGAGCCACTTGTTGTGGATGTGGGAAATAGTCTAATCAAGAGTAATAGAAAAAAAAGAGGCATTCAATGCAGGGACCAATCAATTTGCTAGTCCTCTTGATTAAGCGAAGCACAAGACTGGTAAAGCACCGTTCGACGCTATAGTTGCTCAGCATTTTCTTCCACCAAGTCACGTGGCTGCGCTTGTCTAGGCCTCTTGCCAAGCCAGCAAGGGCGTGGAAGGGTTGCGAGCATAATTGGTCATCGGCCCTTGAGAATGAAGAGCGCCCGCTGCACTTCCTGCAGATGTGCGGATCCTAGCGCGTTTTGAGGCTAGAAGCGCTCGTTCTGAGCGTTTTTTCTTCTACCAGGTCACGTGGTTGCACTTGTCTAGGCCTCTTACCAAGCCAGCAAGGGCGTGGAAGGGTTGCGAGCATCATTGGTCATCGGCCCTTGAGAATGAAGGGCGCCCGCTGCACTTCCTGCACATGTGCGGATCCTAGCGCGTTTTGAGGCTAGAAGCGCTCGTTCTGAGCGTTTTTCTTCTACCAAGTCATGTGGCTGCGCTTGTCTAGGCCTCTTGCCAAGCCAGCAAGGGCGTGAAAGGGTTGCGAGCATGATTGGTCATCGGCCCTTGAGAATGAAGAGCGCCCGCTGCACTTCCTCAACATGTGCGGATCCTAGCGCGTTCTGAGGCTAGAAGCGCTCGTTCTGAGCGTTTTTCTTCCACCAGGTCACGTGGCTGCGCTTGTCTAGGCCTCTTGCCAAGCCAGCAAGGGCGTGGAAGGGTTGCGAGCATGATTGGTCATCGGCCCTTGAGAATGAAGAGCGCCCGCTGCACTTCCTCAACATGTGCGGATCCTAGCGCGTTCTGAGGCTAGAAGCGCTCGTTCTGAGCGTTTTTCTTATACAAGGTCACATGGCTGTGCTTATCTAGGCCTCTTGCCAAGCCAGCAAGGGCGTGGAAGGGTTGCGAGCATCATTGGTCATCGGCCCTTGAGAATGAAGAGCGCCCGCTGCACTTCCTCCACATGTGCGGATCCTAGCGCGCTTTGAGGCTAGAAGCGCTCGTTTTGAGCGTTTTTCTTCCACCAGGTCACGTGGCTGCGCTTGTCTAGGCCTCTTGCCAAGCCAGCAAGAGCGTGGAAGGGTTGAGAGCATCATTGGTCATCGGCCCTTGAGAATGAAGAGCGCCAGCTGCACTTCCTGCACATGTGCGGATCCTAGCGCGTTTTGAGGCTAGAAGCGCTCGCAGTGAGCGTTTTTCTTCCACCAGGTCACGTGGCTGCGCTTGTCTAGGCCTCTTGCCAAGCCAGCAAGGGCGTGGAGGGGTTGCGAGCATCATTGGTCATCGGCCCTTGAGAATAAAGAGCGCCAGCTGCACTTCCTCCACATGTGCGGATCCTAGCGCGTTTTGAGGCTAGAAGCGCTCGTTCTGAGCGTTTTTCTTCTACCAGGTCACGCGGCTGCGCTTGTCTAGGCCTCTTGCCAAGCCAGCAAGGGCGTGGAAGGGTTGCGAGCATCATTGGTCATCGGCCCTTGAGAATAAAGAGCGCCCGCTGCACTTCCTCCACATGTGTGGATCCTAGCGCATTTTGAGGCTAGAAGTGCTCGTTCTGAGCGTTTTTCTTCTACCAGGTCACGCGGCTGCGCTTGTCTAGGCCTCTTGCTAAGCCAGCAAGGGCGTGGAAGGGTTGCGAGCATCATTGGTCATCGGCCCTTGAGAATGAAGAGCGCCCGCTGCACTTCCTCCACATGTGCGGATCCTAGCGCGCTTTGAGGCTAGAAGCGCTCGTTTTGAGCGTTTTTCTTCCACCAGATCACGTGGCTGCGCTTGTCTAGGCCTCTTGCCAAGCCAGCAAGAGCGTGGAAGGGTTGAGAGCATCATTGGTCATCGGCCCTTGAGAATGAAGAGCGCCCGCTGCACTTCCTCCACATGTGCGGATCCTAGCGCGTTTTGAGGCTAGAAGCGCTCGCAGTGAGCGTTTTTCTTCTACCAGGTCACGTGGCTGCTCTTGTCTAGGCCTCTTGCCAAGCCAGCAAGGGCGTGGAGGGGTTGCGAGCATCATTGGTCATCGGCCCTTGAGAATGAAGAGCGCCAGCTGCACTTCCTCCACATGTGCGGATCCTAGCGCGTTTTGAGGCTAGAAGCGCTCGTTCTGAGCGTTTTTCTTCTACCAGGTCACGTGGCTGCGCTTGTCTAGGCATCTTGCCAAGCCAGCAAGGGTGTGGAAGGGTTGCGAGCATCATTGGTCATCGGCCCTTGAGAATGAAGAGCACCCGCTGCACTTCCTCCACATGTGCGGATCCTAGTGCGTTTTGAGGCTAGAAGCGCTCGTTCTGAGCGTTTTTCTTCTACCAGGTCACGTGGCTGTGCTTCTCAAGGCCTGTTGCCAAGCCAGCAAGGGCGTGGAGGGGTTGCGAGCATCATTGGTCATCGGCCCTTGAGAATGAAGAGCGCCAGCTGCACTTCCTCCACATGTGCGGATCCTAGCGCGTTTTGAGGCTAGAAGCGCTCGTTCTGAGCGTTTTTCTTCTACCAGGTCACGTGGCTGCGCTTCTCTAGGCCTCTTGCCAAGCCAGCAAGGGTGTGGAAGGGTTGCGAGCATCATTGGTCATCGGCCCTTGAGAATGAAGAGCGCCCGCTGCACTTCCTCCACATGTGCGGATCCTAGTGCGTTTTGAGGCTAGAAGCGCTCGTTCTGAGCGTTTTTCTTCTACCAGGTCACGTGGCTGTGCTTCTCAAGGCCTGTTGCCAAGCCAGCAAGGGCGTGGAAGGGTTGCGAGCACCATTGGTCATCGGCCCTTGAGAATGAAGAGCGCCCGCTGCACTTCCTCCACATGTGCAGATCCTAGCGCGTTTTGAGGCTAGAAGCGCTCGCAGTGAGCGTTTTTCTTCCACCAGGTCACGTGGCTGCGCTTGTCTAGGCCTCTTTCCAAGCCAGCAAGGGCGTGGAAGGGTTGCGAGTATCATTGGTCATCGGCCCTTGAGAATGAAGAGCGCCCGCTGCACTTCCTCCACATGTGCAGATCCTAGCGCGTTTTGAGGCTAGAAGCGCTCGCAGTGAGCGTTTTTCTTCCACCAGGTCACGTGGCTGCGCTTGTCTTGGCCTCTTGCCAAGCCAGCAAGGGCGTGGAAGGGTTGCGAGCATCATTGGTCATCGGCCCTTGAGAATGAAGAGCGCCCGCTGCACTTCCTCCACATGTGCAGATCCTAGCGCGTTTTGAGGCTAGAAGCGCTCGCAGTGAGCGTTTTTCCTCCACCACGTCACGTGGCTGCGCTTGTCTAGGCCTCTTGCCAAGCCAGCAAGGGCGTGGAAGGGTTGCGAGCATCATTGGTCATCGGCCCTTGAGAATGAAGAGCGCCCGCTGCACTTCCTGCACATGTGCAGATCCTAGCGCGTTTTGAGGCTAGAAGCGCAAGCAGTGAGCGTTTTTCTTACACCAGGTCGCGTGGCTGCGCTTGTCTAGGCCTCTTGCAAAGCCAGCAAGGGCGTGGAAGGGTTGCGAGCATCATTGGTCATCGGCCCTTGAGAATGAAGAGCGCCCGCTGCACTTCCTCCACATGTGCGGATCCTAGTGCGTTTTGAGGCTAGAAGCGCTTGTTCTGAGCGTTTTTCTTCTACCAGGTCACGTGGCTGCGCTTGTCTAGGCCTCTTGCCAAGCCAGCAAGGGCGTGAAAGGGTTGCGAGCATCATTGGTCATCGGCCCTTGAGAATGAAGAGCGCCCGCTGCACTTCCTCAACATGTGCGGATCCTAGCGCGTTTTGAGGCTAGAAGCGCTCGTTCTGAGCGTTTTTCTTCTACCAGGTCACGTGGCTGCACTTGTCTAGGCCTCTTGCCAAGCCAGCAAGGGCGTAGAAGGGTTGCGAGCATCATTGGTCATCGGCCCTCGAGAATGAAGAGCGCCCGCTGCACTTCCTCCACATGTGCGGATCCTAGCTCGTTTTGAGGCTAGAAGCGCTTGTTCTGAGCGTTGTTCTTCTACCAGGTCACGTGGCTGCGCTTGTCTACGCATCTTGGCAAGTCAGCAAGGGCGTGGAAGGGTTGCGAGCATCATTGGTCATCGGCCCTTGAGAATGAAGAACGCCCGCTGCACTTCCTCCACATGTGCAGATCCTAGCGCGTTTTGAGGCTAGAAGCGCTCGCAGTGAGCGTTTTTCTTCCACCAGGTGACGTGGCTGCGCTTGTCTAGGCCTCTTGCCAAGCCAGCAAGGGCGTGGAAGGGTTGCGAGCATCATTGGTCATCGGCCCTTGAGAATGAAGAGCGCCCGCTGCACTTCCTCCACATGTGCGGATCATAGTTCGTTTTGAGGCTAGAAGCGCTCGTTCTGAGCGTTTTTCTTCTACCAGGTCACGTGGCTGCGCTTGTGTAGGCCTCTTGCCAAGCCAGCAAGGGCGTGGAAGGGTTGCGAGCATCATTGGTCATCGGCCCTTGAGAATGAAGAGCGCCCGCTGCACTTCCTCCACACGTGCGGATCCTAGCGTGTTTTTTTAGGCTAGAAGCGCTCGTTCTGAGCG